CGGCCCTGAGCGACGGCCTCCGGGGGATCCGGCACCTGAAAGAGCTTCGTCTGTCCGACAACCCCCAGCTGGGGAACGAAGGGGCCCAGGCCCTGGCCGCGGCGCTCTTTGACTGCGGCCTCGAAAGCCTTTGGCTGCACTCCACTGGGGTCGGGTCCGAGGGCGCGGAGGCGCTGCGCAGGGCCCTCGAGGAAGGCGGCACCGCGCTGAAACATCTCTCTCTCCGAGTAAATGACGCCGTTGGCGAAGAAGCAAAGGCGGCCCTCAGAGCATGCTGCGAGAGCCGGGGAATTCGACTGTCGATGTAGAGGCCGAAGAAGAAAGAAGTCCCACTTTCTTCGGGGCCGCACCAAAGGAGGGGTGGAACTAGTCGTCAAGACACTTCGCGCAACGAAGTCATACAAAAACTATAAACATTAAAAGCATTCCTAAACTTGTATTGTAAGTTTCTCCGAAACGTGCTGAACCCCTCTTGGTGTGTTGAGACCTCGGCGCGGATCCAATAATTTCAAGGTGCTCTTGCATCTCGGAGTTCAAGTGGCGCTCTGCAGCGCTTCGACTCCTGAAGCAACACTCGAAAACGACTGCATGTGTAAAGGCCGAAGAAGAAGAAGAAGCAGAAGAAGTCCCTCAGGAGGGTGGAGAAGTGAAATTTCGTATGCCCAGTAGTTGCTAACACAAATCTCTTAGCGAATGGATGATCTAAACTTGCCGAGAAAAACTCCCTGAACCCTCTTGTTGAGACCTCCGCGCGGATTCGATTTCTTCACGAGCCCTTTCATCTCGGAGGCTGAGGTGGCGCTCTGCAGCGTTTCTGCTTCCAGAGCATTCTACGGAGTTCTACGAATACATAGGGCTTTGGGGCTTTAGTTTTTTTTTTTTTATAATGCATGTCTTTGAGTTCACGTGGTGATTCGTTTGTGCGCTTGAAGTGCGCAGTTAAGAGTGAAGAGCTTATACTGGCGCATAATTCTAGGCTGTAGGATTCGGTCTTGACCTGGATTCCCGCAACTGGTTCTGGATCGCCATTTGAGGTATGCTGCGCACTTCTCGGGGAAGGGCACAATCCTAGATCCAAATCTCTTCAAAGTAAACGTATGGGGAGGTTCAGGGACTGCAGAGGTTAAGGCATCCAGAGACGCCCTCGTTAAGTGCTCGGATCTGATAGACTCTGATACTTGTAGCGCAAAGCTCATATGCAGACAGTCATGGGGACAACAAGCCCAGAGAAGCCACCCCGCGCCTTCTTCAGAGTAACCCTTTAAATCACAAAAGGCGTGAGAAACACTCTCTGCCTTCAGACCGTCTCGCTGCTGCTCGGTCGAGGTCGAGATGAAGAGTTTCACCTTCATGTTTTGCGTGAGCTGACGGCCAAAAAAGCTCCGGGCCTCGTTCGTAGGGATGAGAGGGAACAGAAGTTGTTGCGGAGTCATAGAGCTCCCTCTACAAAGCAACCCGAAGGTGTTGCTCTTCATAAAGCAAGTTTGTGTACACGCCCAGGTGGCACTTTGCACCGTGAGCCTATAGGGTTTCGGGTTTGAGAGGGTTCTTGACCTGGGTTTCCAGGACGCCAAACGAGCTTTGACTTCGCCAGCCTGACACCCAAACACGCCAATCCGATGAACATCCACATTCCCTGACGCTCCGAAGCACCATAGCCATGACCCTAATCCCCTACAGCCCCGTTGACTTCCCTAAACCCCTTCACCCCTCCATAGGGTGTAGGGTTAATACAGGATTTAGGAATTTAGGGTGTTGTGTAGGGTTTGTCTTTCTTATGTAGGTGTTGTTTTTGGACTTGGGGTCCCAGAATCCTGAGCGCTCTGAAGCCTCTTGCAGCGCGCGAGGTCGCTGAAGCCCTGGCAGTCGCCGGGTGTCCTGCGCGGCCGCGTGCGGTGGAGGCGGGCTGGGAGAGTGCCAAATTCCCTAAACCCGCCTTAATCTCTAAACCCGAACTCCGATTCAACCCTAAACCCTCTAAACTTATGAGCGCTCAAGTTGCGTTTTTTAGGGTCTTTGGCCAGTGGGTCTAGGTTGTTGTTTGAGGCTGCGGTGTTAAGGGCTTAGGGTTGTGGTGTTAAGACAAAGGGTGGTGGATTGTTTTTGGATTTGGGCTTTACTTAATTATTTGGTTCTGCGGCTTAGGTTTGGGATTTTGGGATCTGGGGTTCAGGGTTTTGGCTGTGGGCTTTTGGGGCTTACCTTAGAGCTTAACGTAGGCGAATGAAGGGGCAGCTGAAGCAGGAAGCCCGATAGGATTAAGGACAACTGTATGGGGCAGTTCGTTGACATCTCCCTGATAATGCCTTATCCGGGACGGGTTCTCTTGTGTGGGATGAGTTTGCCTTGAGAACGCGAGGCGCCCTTTTAGGGCTTGAAGCCCAAAAGCCCCAAGCCCAAACCCGCAGCAGAAACGGGTTTTCAGGGCTTCTCGGGTTCAGCTCCCGGTGTTTTTCTCTGCGAGGTGTGCCTTCGGCGGGGTGCTGCCTGAGAGGCTGCAAGTTATGAGGTTCATGGGGCTTATGGTTCCCCCCCCCCCCCCCCCGCAGAACACCTCCCCAAGCCTTCTTGGGCTTCCCTAAACCCTGCACCTTTGCCTGGACTTTGGCCTTAAGCCTTCCCCCAGCTTCGGGAAGTCGGGGCTGGGTTTGGGCCATTTAGGTATCAAACAGGTCTTTCCTGGAGGGCAAGGTGGGGTCTTCAGGGCTTAGAAAGCTCAGGGCTGCTCTGCCTCAGACCTTACATGCGACAAGGAGACCGGCCAAGGGCCCGCAGATGGGACACACCTGCCAGTTAACTTGTCTCAGCTTCCCAACTCAGACGGCTTACATCGTAGAAGGGGGAACCCCAAGTGCTACACCACCTCAAAAGAACCCCCGAACTCTGGCTGAACATGAATGTGGGCTGACCGCCTGCTTTTCGTGTTTTTTTTGTTGGGTGCAGTTCAGGCCTTAGTGTGCAAACCGAAGCCCAAAAAAACCATCCCCCAAAACGCCTGAGCCCGAAGTGCTCAGATTTTAGGGATTAGGGGTTTCAAAAGGGTCCATGGGGTTGTAAGGGTTTCATGGCTTAGGGGGGGTTTATGGGATTTAGGGTGTAGGGGTTTCGGGTTTGGGGTTTAGGGAGTAGGGTTTCGGTTTTAGGCGTGTAGGGGCTTCCCGAAGGTTTGCTGGATTGCTTTGGCTTCGCTTTGTGGGGCTTTCTTCTGGGCTTCCTGCGACGGTGTGGGTAGGTGCGGCGTTTGGGGAGAGGCATCTAAGACCCTACAAGCCCTAAGCCCTGGAGACCCTGTAACCTTCGCGCCTGCAAACCCCTAGGCCCTCAACACTTCTTAATGTCTCAGGTCTCAAGCCCCCCAGGGCTTAGGGTAAGCGATCTCTGCATTGACAGTCCCGTCTGCCGCGGCGTCGGCTGAGACTCTGAGACCTGCAGTCTCAGGGTCGCGGATGACAGCCAGTTTCCAAAACAAATCAGAGCCTGCGTGCTAAACCCTAAACCCTAAACCCTAAACCCTAAACCCTAAACCCTAAACCCTAAACCCTAAACCCTAAACCCTAAACCCTAAACCCTAAACCCTAAACCCTAAACCCTAAACCCTAAACCCTAAACCCTAAACCATAAACACTAAACCCTAAACCCTAAACCCTAAACCCTAAACCCTAAACCCTAAACCCTAAACCCTAAACCCTAAACCCTAAACCCTAAACCCTAAACCCTAAACCCTAAACCCTAAACCCTAAACCCTAAACCCTAAACCCTAAACCAGCCGGTTTCGGCTTGAGGGTTTGGGAGTTTCGGGAGTTCAGGGGTCTTGGAGGATGGCCTCGGTCGCATGCGTACTCCCAAGCTTCCATCCTAGACCCTTAGCCCTTAACCCTAAACCCTCAGAACCCTCAAAACCCTTCCATCTAACCTAGCTAGTACACTCCAGGCCCTGAACCCGAAGCTCCCTGAGAATTTGAGGGCTGAGATAGGATAGGGTGTTAGAGGGTATAGAGGGCTTTATGCGGTTTATGGGGAGTTTAAGGGTAGGACAAACTGGCAGAGCGCGTGGAGCCTTTCATTTCAGAGGTCTTCAGGGCACTGCGGGATGACTATAGACATGTTTTTGTTCTTGGAAAGTGTGCCTTTGTTGATGTGTTGTGTGGTCTGCTTCTCAAAGGGGACTTAGGGGCGTACTAGGGTCTACAGGGTGTCAGCTTGTTTCTTGTTGGTCACCCATAAGAATCCTGCAAAGGGGGGTTGACAAGCAACAAAGCCCTAAACCCTGAGCCCTCAACCCTAAACCCTATTCCCCCTAAACCCTAAACCTTAGCGGGCAGGCTGTTGGGTTGGTCTCAAGTTCACCACCTCAACCACGCTGAGTGCCTCTGGCCCTTCCACCCTCTCAAGCTCAAACTTTCGAGCCCCCAAGGCCGCAAAAAGGGGAGAGAGCACCTTCCAGCACGGACTTTGCAAGCTTCAGGACTTCAAGCTCCAGCAGCCCGGATGCCAAAGGATCACAGCAACGCCTCCACTCGGGAAAAGGGTCGCCCACACATGTGGGGAAGAGCCATGCCTCTGGAGCTATGGAGCTGACCCGCTGTTTTAGCCCGAAGGGCCTTGTTGAGGCGCGCGCCGGCTGCCGCGTGGCACGTGGCAGACGGGGCGATTCCTCCGAGCCCCGCTCGCTGTTTGTAGGGCGGGTGCGCCGTGTTGCCAGGCTCTTTAGAGTACGAGGCCTAGGGCTGTTTTAATGGCGATCTGGTGTGCCGACCTCGTCTTCCCGGAAGCAAAGCTCAGTAGATCTCGAACTGTCAGGGGCCCATCCGCTTCCGCCGCGCAGCATGTTATTACTTCTTGGTTGAAGAAGGGGCCAGCGCGGCCCCCAAGGTTTCCCCTACAACTTGCCACAAGGCCAAAAAAGCATGAACGCGACGAAGAGCACTTCTAGCCACACCGACCTGCTGACGACAATCGGCTTGGAGACGAGCTCAGCTCAGCCATTTGTTGTTGCGTTGTCATTCCGGGAATCGCAAGTACAGGCACAGCAATCCTGGAACTTGCGACGGTTCGCAAAAAGGAGAACCCGTCCCACCACCTAAACCTTCTCGACTGCTTGGAGATTGCTGGAGCCAAGTTGAGCTGAAGTTTTCCGAGCATGAGCTTGCCGAGAAGAAGCTCCTGAGAGCAGTGCATTTTCTGGGCAAGGAGAGGAGCTTGTGGAGCTGGAGTTTCACCTTCTCGTGCCTCTGTGCTGAAAAGCACAAGAGCTTACCGAGAAGCTCCCCAAAAGCGCGGACACGATTCGACGATCTGGCAGCTGTCGTCATGCTGGCGCTTCAGCGCGCCAGGAAAATATTTGCGGATAGCAGCCGGCGACAGCTCCACCTGGGTTTGGAAAGATTGACATCGAAGACCGCGAGCTTTGGGGAAGCCCCCCCCTGTGGCGAAGAAGCTCGAGAGAGCCCTTTGCAGTGTTGAGGTGACGCGTTCGGAGCGCGAGCTTAGGCCGACACGGGGAGCTCCGGAGCAGCGTCGCGTGGGGGCAAGGCCGGGAGCCTTGCTGGTGAGCGCAGATGTCCCCTGCACTCTCGGCGCTTTCGTGCAGCTCTCTTCCCCCGACCTCGCCTGGCCCGGGTTCCCAGGATGGGTTTTGTAGAGGGGGAGGGGGGAGCATACAGAGAACGGCAGAAAGCTTCGGAGTTTGGGATGTTCAGGCGAGATTCTGCAGAATTCTGGCGGACTTGGGAGGGAGTTTAGGGGGCTTCTAGGGATTCTAGGGTTTAGGGGTTCTTTCGCGGTTTCAGGGTTTTTCTGGGGTGTCCGGCTTGACAGGGTTTTTCGGGGGGCGTTGCAGGGCAATGAAGAAAGCTTGCGCCCATTAACGAGCCTCCGTTGCCACGCCCCCTTACATGCCTCGCTTGTGTAAGGATGCATCTTGAGCCTGGAAGCCTTCGGATGATCCTCCTTTTTTCACCACCTTCGGTGTGGGGTTGTTAGATTTTAAACTCAACTTTTCTCCTCGCCCGGAACTCTTCTCCTTGTCCGGTCTACTCCTAGAGAATTTCTGGAGTGCCCAAGCTCAGAGACTCTCTGGAGTGCCCACCACCGCCCCAAACTCCTGGAGTGCGCAATGTCAGAGTCTTCCTAGAGTGCCGGTGCCCAAACCAGAGGCTCCAAGCGCAGAGTTTCCCTAAGGTGCCCAACCCCAGAGTCCCTACAGTGCCCAACTCCAGAGTGCTGGAGTCCTAGAGTGCCCAGACACTTTGGAGGGCCTCAGAGTCTCCCTGGAGTGCGCAACCCCAAAGCCTCCTTGATGTGCCCCAGAGAGACTCCCTGAAATGCCCAACCCCAATCCAAAGCCGTAAGGTGGGGATGTTCGAAGGGCTGGGGCTGGGGGGCTGGGGGGGCGTGTAGGGTTTGGGCTTGTTTGGGTGGAGCCGGCGATGTGATCGGTCAGGGTTTGTGGTTTAGGGCTTGGGATGGCCCCTAAACTACTATTTAGCGCAAGAACGCCCTCAAGAAATGCAAGATAATTATGCCCATATTTGCCCTCCTACGGAAGAACATGTTTTTTTTTTGACGGGGTTCTTAAGCAAGTAGTAGTAAACCCTGTTAACCCTGAACCCCAAGCTCTACAAAGCCCCCCGTCGGGACCAGGCTTTCGTTCTCTCACTCTGAGATGAACCAAACCTTGTTGTTCTTTACGTCACATGGGAGTAGATTGTGGAATTGCTGCTGTGCATATACGCCCAGGTCAGAATGAGGGGTCTATGTCTAGGGTTTGGGGATTGAGGGTGTTCCATGGGCGTGCAGTTTTCTTTTGGGCCTGAGGAATACGGGAGCCCCCTTTTTTTTGGCCTCTGCGCAGGCCACGCCCAACAGCCCCACGACGAAAGAAGCCCTGAAACCCAAGCCCGAGAGAAAAAACCCCTACACCCAACAACCCCCCCCTAAAAGCCCCAAGGGCACAACCCAGGAAGCTTCCCCCCCCCCCCCCCTCCCATCCCCCGCTCCTCTTTGGCCCGCCAGCATCCTCAGCGGCACGGGCCTGGAACAGGGCCCCTTGGTTTTGCGGAGGGTTTAGGTTTAGCCCTAAACCCTAAACCCTAAACCCTAAACCCTAAACCCTAAACCCTAAACCCTAAACCCTAAACCCCAAACCCTAAACCCCAAACCCCAAACCCTAAACCCTAAACACAGGAACTCCAGGAACTTCAAACCCTGCGGCACTGCAGCTAAGGCTCGAAACTCCTCAAGGCCTTCTGGGTTTCGAGTTCACGGAAGTCCTCACCCCAAGATTCGGCCTCCAAAGTTCCGGCAGGGAAGGCTTTAGGGTTTAGGGTTTAGGGTTTGGGGTTTAGGGTTTAGGGTTTGGGGTTTAGGGTTTAGGGTTTGGGGTTTAGGGTCTAGGGTTCGCAATGTGGTGCTTGGGGGTTTACGGCCTCAGGGGCCCTGAAATCACTCGAAGGACCCTGAGCCGCCCCCCCCCCCCCCTCCCCACACCTCAAAAGCCCCGAAGCCCTGAGTACCTTTAGGGTTTAGGGTTTAGGGTTTAGGGTGTAGGGTTTAGGGCTTAGGGTTTAGGGTTTAGGGTTGAGGGTTTAGGGTTTAGGGTTTAGGGTTAGGGTTTAGTGTTTAGAGGTTAGTAGTTTACTATCCTTGGGGTTGGCCTTATAGTGATCTGAAATCACCCGAAGGACGCCCTTTGTCTTGAACTTTCAAGTTTGAATAGCAGAACTCGTGCGTATAACCATACATAGTAGCAGGAGTGGGACTGAACACCAGCAATCGCAAGGATGACGAGGGCAACCAAGAATCATCATCGTTTAGAACTACCGTTCCTTGTTGAAAGCACCATCACCATCATCACGATTGCTGGCCGTATTCTTTGGGACGACGGCTACTACGACCACGACGACGGTACACAATATGATTCTAGGAACTCCCTGAACGCCACCCTCGGGCATGCAAGGCACTGAGATGTCGATGTGGCAGGCCAGGGTGCCCAAGGTTTGCAAAGCCCTGAGTTTTTCTTCGGTCCTGGGAGGCATTTGAGGGGTTTTTAGGGGGTTTAGGGTTCAAGGGGGCGTAAAGGGTCGAGGGCGCAAAAGGCTTAGGCTTTTATTCTCGTTGGGTAGCGAAAGCCGGAGTCGGAACCTTCCTAAACCCGCGCTGAAGATCGCTCCCCTTAAAGTTTGGAAACAGAGGGATGGTGGTTCGTGCGGGTGTCTAAAACAGAAGGTGTGGTCTAGGGGCATGGGGTTTTATTGTTTTCCCGAAAGCATCGCGAAGGGTTCTTCCGTGCGGAGCCCTCTGACCCAACAACATAGAGTGAAGTGCATAGAGTGAAGTGCATAGAGTCAAGTGCATAGAGTGAATTGCATAGAGTCAAGTGCTTAGAGTGAAGTGCATAGAGTCAAGTGCATAGAGTCAAGTGCTTAGAGTGAAGTGCATAGAGTGAAGTGCATAGAGTGAAGTGCATAGAGTGAATTGCATAGAGTGAATTGCATAGTGTGAATTGCATAGAGTGAAGTGCATAGAGTGAAGTGCATAGAGTGAATTGCATAGACTGAAGTAAATTACGAGATTTACGTAGAATTTAGTAGACCTTCGTACCCAGTCCTAGATTTCAAACTTACGCTTTCTAAGGCGGCGGGCTGGGTTGACATCGCCAATCGGGATTGCAACCCTCTGCGGGTTTCGGCGTGGTCGCGGTGCTAAAACCGTCGTTTGTTTACGTTTCTTGATTTGCGCGGACAACCCTCTGCGGGTTTCGGCGTGGTCGCGGTGCCAAAACCGTCGTTTTTTTACGTTTCTTTGTGTCCGCGGACAGCCCTCTGCGGGTTTCGGCGTGGTCGCGGTGCTAAAACCGTCGTTTTTTTACGTTTCTTTGTGTCCGCGGACAACCCTCTGCGGGTAATCGCCGGGTCGCGGCGCTAAAACCGTCGTGTTTGGTACTTTTTTTCGTGGCCGCAGACAACCCTCTGCGGGTTTCGGCGTTGGCGCGGTGCCAAAACCATCGTGTTTTTGCGTTTCTTGACATGCAAACGTAACCCCTCTGCGGGTTTTCGCGTGGTCGCGGTGCGAAAACCGTAGTGTTTTTGCGTTTTTTTTGTCGACTTGTGTAGTACAGACGTAGTACGCCGGGGACTTCCGTGGCTGGAAAATCGACTTTTGTAGTACAAACGTTGTACGCCGCGGACACGCGGAGCTTCCGTGGCTGGAAAGTCGACTTTTGTAGTACAAACGTAGTACGCCGCGGACACGCGGAGCTTCCGTGGCTGGAAAATCGACTTTTTGTAGTACAGACGTGTAGTACGCCGGGGACACCCGGAGCTTCCGTGGCTGGAAAGTCGACTTTTGTAGTACAAACGTAGTACGCCGCCGCGGACACGCGGAGCTTCCGTGGCTGGAAAGTCGACTTTTTCTAGTAACCTAGTACAGACGTAGTACGCCGCGGACGCCCTGGGCGTCTGAAAACACCGCATCGCAAATACCACAGTCCCCGAATTCGCTGTTTCCAAGACCATCGCAAATACCATGGTCCCCGAATTCGCTGGTTCCAAACGCATGGCAAATACCATGGTCCCCGAATTCGCTGGTTCAAAGCATCGCAAATACCATGGTCCCCGAATTCGCTGTTTCCAAAACCATCGCAAGGAGCTTCCGTCGCTGGTTCCAAAACCATCGCAAATACCATGGTCCCCGAATTCGCTGGTTCCAAAAGCATCGCAAATACCATGGTCCCCGAATTCGCTGTTTCCAAAAGCATCGCAAATACCATGGTCCCCGAATTCGCTGTTTCCAAAACCATCGCAAATACCATGGTCCCCGAATTCGCTGTTTCCAAAACCATCGCAAATACCATGGTCCCCGAATTCGCTGGTTCCAAAAGCATCGCAAATACCATGGTCCCCGAATTCGCTGTTTCCAAACGCATCGCAAATACCATGGTCCCCGAATTCGCTGTTTCCAAAACCATCGCAAGGTCCCCGCATTCGCTTCCGTGGCTGGTTCCAAAACCATCGCAAATACCATGGTCCCCGAATTCGCTGGTTCAAAACCATCGCAAATACCATGGTCCCCGAATTCGCTGGTTCCAAAAGCATCGCAAATACCATGGTCCCCGAATTCGCTGTTTCCAAAAGCATCGCAAATACCATGGTCCCCGAATTCGCTGGTTCCAAAACCATCGCAAATACCATGGTCCCCGAATTCGCTGGTTCCAAAAGCATCGCAGATACCATGGTCCCCGAATTCGCTGCTTCCAAAAGCATCGCAAATGCCATGGTCCCCGAATTCGCTGGCTCCAAAAGCATCGCAAATACCATGGTCCCCGAATTCGCTGGTTCCAAACCATGGCAAATACCATGGTCCCCGAATTCGCTGGTTCCAAAACCATCGCAAATACCATGGTTAATGATTTCGCAAAATCACATGGTGCTCCAATGCCGAGCGTGCGAAAACATCGCAAATTTCATTGTTATTTAATTCCCGGCGTGCGAAACTCACTTCGGTCAGATTTCACTGTGCTTCTCTGCTCTTTGAAGCTCCAAGGTCTTCTTGCCAACCTCGCTCTTCTGTCCTTTTTTCTTTGAAAGGCGCTCTGGAGTGTGAGCTTGGACTTCAGAGCGACAGCCGATGATGCTCATGGCTGACGGCTCTCGCGTTAGATGTTTTTGTCTTTTCTTTCATAGCATCGCGTTGACAGGACGTGCGCAGCCGAGTCGGGTGCATGCAAGTGAAGTTCATACAGTTCAAGTCCGTTTACTTCAGATCTATTGAATGCCAATGAAGTGTATAGAGTTGACCACAAGTGCATGGCATTCAACTCAACACACTTGAGTGCCATGCAGTTCGAGTGCATACACGTCCAGTATACAAGTGCAGTATACAAGTGAGTATGCAACCATATAAGTGCATACACTTAAGTGCATACACTTGTCCAAGTGCATACAGTTCGAGCGCACAGAGTCAAGTGCATAGACTCAACGCACCGCAAATCGATGCTTTCGGGCCAATCGTCTTCTAGTTTTTTCAGGGGTGTGGGGCTTATATTGGTTTAGGGTTTCAGGTCCAATGGTCTAACGGTTTACGCTCTGATGTTTTTGGGGGTTTCTTGGTTTAGGGTTTAAAAGCGGGTGGAACCAGTCTATCCACAAAAGCAACTAGGTAGACCTTTGCGAGTATGATCCTGTTTTTCAGAGGGTCGTATCGAGGTATCTTAGGCTTCGGGGCTGTATACGGTTCAGGGGCTTCAAGGGTTCTTTTTTTTGGGGGGGGTTATACGGTTTGTTGGTGACCTCTGGAGTTTAGGGTCTGCTTTTTGGGTTTATAGGGCTTGTAGGGTTGCCTTTTGCAGGGCTTTGCAATTCCTTTCAGGGCATGTTGGGGTACCTTTATAGGGTTTAGGGCAACTCCTTTTTAGGGCTTGTAGGGCGTAGGTTGCTGGGCGCTCCAGGTCCGTTTATAGGGTGCTTTTAGGGTTTCGGGCTTCAAGGGTCACAAGCTCGCAGGGCTTCTCGGGGTTGAAAATCATCAAAGGAGGCCGGCCTTCTAAGGGGTGTTCGTAGCTTTCCTGAGCATTTAAGTAATCCCCTAAGCTTCCGCCGCCCTAAGCCCTTGAACCTCAAAGCCCTCACGAGACTGTACCCCCCCAAGGTAAAGGTAGAGTTTCCTTCAGGCACATGATTCCTAAGCCCTAAGCCCTGAGCCCTAAGCCCTAAGCCCTAAGCCCTAAGCCCTAAGCCCTAAGCCCTAAGCCCGTAACCCTTAACCCTAAACCCTGAACCCTGAACCCTAAACCCTAAATCCCAAAACCCTCAGGAGAATATACCCCCTAGGTATAGGTAAAGTTTCAAAAAGGCCCACGGGGGTGCTTGGGCTTGGGTTTGACAGGCGCTTCGCCTTCGCCCAAACTGCGCCTTGGGCTGCTGCCTGAGAAAGTTCGCAGCTGCACAGGGGGAAGATGGGGGTGGGGGGGGGGGAGGGCTTCGGCCTGCTCATCGAGAGACCCTTTTAGGGATTTAGGGTTCAAAGGTTTTTCTAGGGTTTGCAGCAGAAGGGGATGTGGTTGAGCATCAAGCAAGCCCGGTAGATCTCGAAGGTGTCAGGGCCCCATCCGCCTCCGCCGCGCAGCATGTGACTTCTTGGTTGAAGAAGCCCCAAGGTTTCACTGTACAACCTCGCCAAAAGGCGAAGAGCCCCGCCCCCCCAATGGACGCGACGAACGAGACAGCCACCCAAGGAGTCGACCTGCTGAAGACGGCGGGTCTCGACGACCGAGCCATTTATTGGTGTCTCGTCATGTTGGCAGTGGCAGCTGCCACGTGCGCGTGCGGCACCATCATCCTCATGCTGGGAACGTGGCGAAGCAAACTAAGAACACCAGCTGCACTGTCACTCGGACCTGACTCCCCACGAAGTGGGACGGGGATGCAAAGTGCGCCAAGTATTGGCACCACGACCATCGGCTTGCAAGATGTGGATGTATCAGCGGACCAACCTCTAAGGGCACCGCAGGTGCGGCAGGCAATAAGCAAGAGGAGGCGCCGATGGCAGCTCTTCAGCGTTTTCCTGGTCACCTTCACACTCTGTCTTTGGCTTGTTATAGCAGGCATTGTGGATGGCAGCCTGTCGAAAGAGACAGGGCTCGCGTGGGAGAGCTACGCCGTGCTGCTCTCTCTAGGTTGCGGCTGGATGCTTCTGCAGGCGGTCATTGTCGCCAGCACGCTCGAAACGGGCCGCGGCTATGGTACAGGGGCCTTTGCTGAAGCCATGCTGGGAGGTGTGTGTCCATTCATAGCAGATTCCTTCGACACTCTTAAGGATACTATGTTCGGGGGTCTCTGTTTAAAGTCTTCTCATGTATTTCTGAATGTCGTAGGAATCTGCAGTTGGATGTACCTTTTCGGCTTTCACATATACTTTTTCACCCAATTGCGTTTTGTAGCTGAGCTGGTGGCCAGCCACCTGGCCGTCTTCGGCCTCCCAACCCTCGATGTGACGAAGAGCGCCACCCCAAAGATGAAGATCTCCGAGAAGCTGACGGCACTGGCCGCGAAGCAGATCTCCCCCACGAAGCGCCACATGCTGGAAGTGGAGAACCTGCCCCAAGCAGGCTTCGCAATTCTTTACCTTGCCGTGGAGGGCGGGAGTCCGGTCGTGGCCCTCTTGAGCCTTGCACTCCCTACATTGCAGATCGCGGCGTCGTGCGCCCTGCACGGCCGCATTCAGAGGCGCTTGGTGCCGTGGTACGCAATGAGGTTCGACTCCGCCGCCAACGACGCGGATGAGGTGCTGGCCAGGCGCCTCTGGAGCGAGATCGACGGGAACGAGGAGCTTTGCCTGAAGATCGCCCTGTCGACCCGCTGCTTTGGCGACGTGCTCCATGCAAGGCGTCGCCACCGTGCGGAGCTGGGCCACGTCGTGGTCGAAGGTGGAGAGGACGAGGATGCCCGAATCGTGTGCCGGCGGCTCATGGAAAGCTCGGAGAGTGGCGAGGTGAATTTGTCCGGCGTCACCAATTGGGATGTGCCGAGCCTGGAGGCGCTGCTGCGCCTTGTCAGCCAAGCCGCTTGGGTGCGCCTACTTTGGCTTGTAGATTGCCAGCTCGACGGCCCCTCCCTGGCCCCGGCCCTGAGCGACGGCTTCCGGGGGATCCGGCACCTGAAAGTGCTTTTTCTGTCCGACAACCCCCAGCTGCGGAACGAAGGGGCCCAGGCCCTGGCTGCGGCGCTCCCCCACTGCGGCCTCGAAGGGCTTGACCTTCATTCCACCGGGGTCGGATCCGAGGGCGCGGAGGCGCTGCGCAGGGCCCTCGAGGAAGGCGCCGCGCTGAAACAGCTCGATCTCCGAGAAAATGACGCCATCGGCGAAGAAGCGGTGGCGGCCCTCAGAGCATGCTGCGAGAGCCGGGGGGTTGAACTGCACATTTAGAGGCCGAAGAAGAAAGAAGTCCCACTCCTTCCCGGGGCCGCACCAAAGGAGGGGTGGAACTAGTCGTCAATACACTTCGCGCAACGAAGTCATACAAAGAGTTATTGGCATAAAAGCATTCCTAAGCTTATATCGGAAGTTTCCCCGAAACGTGCCGAACCCCTCTTGGTGTGTTGAGACAGACCTCGGCGCGGATCCAATAATTTCAAGGTGCTCTTGCATCTCGGAGTTCAAGTGGCGCTCTGCAGCGCTTCGACTCCTCAAGCAGTACTCGAAAACGACTGCACGTGTAGAGGCCGAAGAAGAAGAAGCAGAAGTCCCTCAGGAGGGTGGAGAAGTGAAGCTTCGCATACCCGATGCTTGCCAAGCAAATCTCTTCACGATTGGACTATCTAAACTTGCTGAGAAAATTCCCTCGAACCCTCCTGTTGAGACCTGCGGATTCGATTTCTTCATGAGTCCTTTCATCTCGGAGGCTGAGGTGGCGCTCTGCAGCACTTCTGCTTCGAGGGTTCTCTCAAACGGGGGAGCATTCTGCGGGGTTCTATATGAATACACAGGGCTTTGGGGATTCAAGCGTTTTTTGTGCATGTCTATGAGTTCGTGTGGTGCTTCGTTTGTGCGGTTTACGTGTGCAGTTAAAAGTAAATTTGTAGCTCTGTTTTGACCTAGGTTCCCGCACCAGGTTCTGGATCGCCCTTTGTGGGTATGGTCTGTGCACTTCTTGGGGGGGGAGGGCATTTCCGAAGGCATCCCAAATCTCTTTACACATGTGTGCGCATTCAGGACAGGGGAGCACTGCAGAAGCGTCCAGAGACCCCCCCTTCGCCCCCGATAAGTGCTCGGACCTGATAGACTCGGATACTTGTAGCGCAGAACTCATATAGAGACTGCCATGGAGACAAGAAGCCCGGAGAAGCCACTGCGCCTTCTTGAAGAACCCTTTGTAACAAGGCGCGAGAAACACTCTCCGCCTCCAGAATTCAATTTTTCAACTGTGGAGTTTCACCTTAATCCTTGCTGAGCGAGAAGCTGAAAAAGCTCCGGGTCGAGTAAATAGGGACTAGAGGGGACATAGTTGTTGCGGAATCGTAACGTTCCCTCTGCAGAACAACCCGAAGCAGTTGAACCTGGGCGGTTTTTACGGGGAGGCTCTTCACAAAACAAGTTCGTGTAGACAACGAGCTGGCACTCCGCACTGCGTCTTATAGGGCCTCGGGTTTGAGAGGGTTGCAGGACACCTTGGCGTTTCCGCAGCACCTTCGTATTATGTTGTTACAGGGTTACTGGGGTTTCAGGGTTACGGGTTTGACCGGGTCTAGAGTGGAGTGCAACCCGCCGCTCATTTTTCCCGAAGTTTGGGAATCTTTGGGAATCCAGAGTTGGAGCTCATGAGTTCCATGGAGGCAGGCCGCAGCCCCCAAACACCCCAAAGGCATCCTTAAATCCCAACAAGAGCCCCAAATCGGCCTTAAGATCCCCCGCGCAGCCCGACGCGCGTCCGGATTTTGAGGCCTTAAAGAACCCTGAGGCCCCTGTATACTGTAGCACAGACCCTACGCCCCCCTAAAGCCCTCGACTTGCCCTACAAAGTACCTAAACCCTTAAGCCCCTCTCTACAGAGATATATATATATATATATAAGTATATATGTAAAAGGATGAATTGAGCAAATAAGTAAATAGATAAAAAAACTAATGTATGCACATATATGTGTGTTTTTGTTTCAGCAGGGTTTGTAGGCTTTATCGAGTTTGGGGTCCCAAGCTCCCAAGCCCCCTAAGGTGCTCAAGTCTCTTTGAATTCCGCGAGGTCGCAAAGCCCTGGCTTAGTCGCCACTTCCCGGGCCTCTGTGCCGCTTTCGGGGGAGGCTCCGTGCAGCTTAGCCCATGCCTGGGCTGAGAGAAATACCCTACACGCTATACACCTATCAACCCTGTAGACCCTACAAACCCTGTCAACCCTGCAAAGCCTGTAACCCTACCCTATGATCGTGGTAGTGGCAAATGTAAGGGGAGTTCATTAAAACTCCATAGAGCCTACACCCCTACATCTCAAACCTTGAACCCGAGATCCCAAAACCCCGAGGCGTCCTATAAGTGCTAAGCCGACGTCCTACAGTGCGGAGGCTTTCCGAAAATGTTCAGCTGGCTATTGCAAGAAGGGGCCCCCAAACTAGATACCCGCAGAAACAGGCCTTTGGGATGTCGGTTTCTTGAATTCGGATTTGTAGGGCAGGGCTTCTTAAGTTTAACGGGTTCTTCTCTACTATAGGGGTCGGAAATTTTTACTAGTATTCCCCGGTGGTCCCTTTATTCTTCTCCTATCTAATGATATAATAACCCCCGTTTTACGGGGTTCTTCTCTAGCCGCCCTTTGGGAAGGTGCGCCTTCGGCGGGTCTGCTGTCTGAGAGGCTTCCAGGTGGCGCTAGGGTTCACAGGGCTCCGTATAGGGCCCAGGGCAGCCCAATTCGCCTCCCGAGCCTCCTTCAAAACGGGTTTAGGGTTTAGGGTTGGTTTAGGGTTTCGGGTTTAGGGTTTAGGGTTTCGGGTTTAGGGTTTAGGGTTTAGGGCTTAGGGCTTAGGCCTTAGGGTTTAGGGTTTAGGGTTTAGGGTTAAGGAAGTAGGGTTAAGAAACCTATTTTCCCCCTGCACCTTCCGAAGCCTGCCCTAGCCTCGAAATGGGAGGGTTCGGCCCGGGTTTGGCCCGTTTGGGGTTGGGCTTGGACCGTTTGGGGTTTATAGGGTCGTTGTAAAGAATGGGCGTATTGGGTTTAGGGCTCCTAGTCATGCCCTAAACCCTAGAATCGCTAGAAATCCTCGAGCCCTTCTATAAATCCTAGAAAAAGCCGTACAGGCCTTGCCACTTTTGCTTCAACGGCACTTCATCTCTCAAAGCGTGGACAGTCCCGCCTGCAGCGGAGCCTCATCTGGTCGCGGAAAGTCAGCTTGAAGAAGAGCAACATAGCATCCCCAACCCCCGAAGGTTTGCAGGATTTACAGTTAGAGCTGGCTTAGAGCTGAGGGTTTTGTAAACTAGGAGCGTGCAAGGTTTAGGAAGTCTACGGGTTTAGAGAGTTTTTCGGAAAGTGGCAGGCAGTGGGAGTTTTTTGGGAAGTTTACGGGTGTAGGGAGTGTGCGGATCAAGATTTTGAGGTATTCTGTTTCTTCCCTGCAATTCTAGGCATTGGCTCTCTGATCTGGGGGCACTCTATTCGCAAGTGTCCACCCTAGACCCTAAACCCTAAGCCCCAAACTCAAACCCTACTAAAGTGACAAGCTCTGGGCACATCATCACGGACCATATGAAGCAGGGGGCCTTGGGGAGTTTTACCAACTAAGCCCCACACACCCTGTGAAGTCTAAACCCTCTGAAAGGTTTAGGGCTTAGGGCTTAGGGCTTAGGGCTTAGGGGTTTAGGGCTTGGGGCTTAGGGCTTAGGGGTTTAGGGCTTGGGGCTTAGGGCTTAGGGTTTAGGGTTTAGAACCCTACAAACCCTCTGAAGCCTTAGGGGTCTCGACCCGTCAAGCTCACCAAGGAAGTGCTAGATGGAAGGGCTTAGGGTTTATTTGGGTTCAGGGTTTCGGGTTCAGGGCTTAGGGTTTCTAATAGTGGGTTAGGGTTCAGAGTTTCGGGCATCAAACATCACAGCATCCCCATTCGGTTAGGGTTTCGGTTAGAGGGCTTTGGAGTTTACTTGGAGGTTCATGGTACGTATTCACCTATTATGGTTGCATTTATATCCCACTTATAAGCCCCTTAAGTGCTCAAGTACCATGAACCTCCAAGTAGGGACGCATACCTCTTGGGCCCCCTGCGGGCCTCCGGCAAAGTGTATCCGTGGCTTCAATCACCCGACGCGTTTTGAAACGGCAGTGGAAACCCCAATCCTAAGCCCTCAGCATCCTCATGCCCATCACCGGAACCTTTCAAGCCCCAAAACAAAATAAGCTTCTCAACCCTAAGCCACTAAACTTCTCAAGGGTTTAGGGTTTAGGGTTTAGGGTTTAGGGTTTAGGGTTTAGGGTTTAGGGTTTAGGCTTTAGGGACCTAAACCATTAAACTCCTCAACCCCTTCAACTGAACCTGGCAGCCATTGATTCAGGCTCAAGCGTTGATACTTTGAGCAGGCATCCTAGAAGCTGCCAAACTAGCAGTGTGTTGAATATTATGGGCTCTGCCCGGCCTACATCCCAAACCCTAAGCCCTGTACCCCTTAAGTCTTAAGTCCTACAGCTTATACATGCTCGCAGCCCTGAACCCTAAAACCCTAAACTCCTTCAACTAGGCCCGAAGCTTAAACCCTAAACCTCAGAGACCCCTAAGAGTCGCTCCGCCCTGGAGCCGCCCCAAGCAGCGAGACTCCCCTCACAGATTGCTCTAGAATCCCCGCCAGCGCGTGGTCGCCAGGGATGACGGAGGCTCGAACTAAGTGGGGGTTTTGGGGTTTCGGGGTTTTGAGAACTGCTAGGGTTCACAAGGTTTAGGGTTTAGGGACTCAGGGTTCGCAAGTTTTAGGGTTTAGGGTTTAGGGTTTAGGGTTTAGGGTTTAGGGTTTAGGGTTTAGGGTTTAGGGTTTAGGGTTTAGGGTTTGTCGTTCAGGGTTCAGGTTTGAGGGTTCAATGTTTAGGGTTGGGCTGGGAGGGTCTTTGGGTTCAGGCGATCGATGTCAGGAGATAGCCGGCTCGAGCTTCTCTAAGCCAACGTGGTGGGGCATCAGGGGCGGCCACCCAAAAAACCCTGAAATCCGAAACCCTATCAGCAATCTTATATGTGTGTACGTTAACATGCCTTGAACTAAGAAAGCCCCCAAGAACCCTCAATGCGCAACAACGCCCTAAAGCCCTAAGAGCCCTCAATGCGCTGAAGCCCTACAGGAGCTCTAGAACTGTTAAACCCAGAGCACTAGGAGCTCTAAATTTCCTAAGCCCCTCAAGGCCTAAGGGCTTCGGGTTTCGCTTGAAGCGCAATCTTCAAGAACTTTGAAGCACAAGGGTGGAAGCTCGAAGAACCCTCTGTCGCAACCAGGTTTTCACCCTCAGATTTGGGCCTTCAAATCTCACGCAAGGAAAGGCTATAGGGCTTTAGGGAGCTTAGGAACATAGAATGTTGGGGCTTATTAGGGTTTACGACGTGGCCCGAGGCCCTGAACACCCCCCTCCGCCGGCTCACCGGGTAGCGTTGGGATGACTGTGCCTCTCCTGCTTTTGGTTACCCCGACCCCTAAGACACATGCATTGGACTTTGGGTCGCATCCCCCACGATTTTCGACGACGACTACCACTTCTACTCTAATTATTCTACTGCTATATATGATATGATGATACGAACCCCCCTGAACGCCACCCTCGCGTGTCCTCAAGGCGCAGAGACGCCGAGCCGTGTCTAAGCGTCCATGCGGCAGGCCGGGGTGGCTTAGGGTGTAGGGTTTTAGGGTTTAGGGTTTAGGGTTTAGGGCTTAGGGCTTAGGGTTTAGGGTTTAGGGTTTTAGGGTTTAGGGTTAGAGGCTGAAGGTCCAGCAGGGTGGGAAGGTGCTCTTGTAACCTCCCGGATTTGAGGCGTATAGGGCTCCTGGAGGGTTAGGGCTGACTTTGACGATTCCGGAGCAATCAAGCCGGAGGCTTTGAGTAGCCTTTCAGCCCGAGAGCATTTTGTTGCATAAGCCCAAGAGCCGCTTAAAGAGCCCCTAAACGTAAGCTGAGGGATGGCGGTTGTTCGGTGTTTGGGGGGGTTGCTGGGCTTGGCTTTTGCTGATTTTTTTTTGCTGGGGGAGGGGGGTTGTTGGTTGAGGGCTTTGAAGTTTAAAGGTTTTTTAAAACCGGACTGAAGTCCGCCCGCTCTTGTCAACAGCAATTCGGCCCTTGAGAGAAATGTGCGTTTGTAAGGCCGTTCGAGGGCCACACCTGAGGACCATTCAGGTGCGGAGCTCAAGGCTTCAAGGTCGCTGTTGCAGGGAAATCTGATGGCGGTTTATGGCGCTTCCCTTTTAAGCGGGGCGATGTAGGGATCTTTTCAGGGCAACGTGTTCCTATTTTTGGAGGTTGCTGTGTTTGTAGGGCTTAGCCGCCCCAAAACAGCTTCAGGACCCAAACCCCAAACCCCCAAACTGGTAGACAAAACAACTCTCTATAGCCCCCCAAAATCGGATTTCAGGTCCGCTCCGCGAGTTCGGGTTTTGTGGCAGGGGTTCTTGGGTTCAGGTTCTGCGGCCCTGCGCGGAAACGGCGGCGTCTTGAGGGCCGCGGCCTGAGACGCTCTTGCGGCTCTTGGCATCCTTGCGCGGCAGAAGAGCCTACGGAGAGCCAAAACCCGAAAGGCCCCAAAAAAGATGGGAGAAGCCTGCTCACCGGGCTTCTAAATTATAGGGCCTACTGGTTCTTACACTAGCATTTTCTTTTGTTTTGCGGTACTTTAGGGGGCGGCAAAGGTTTTTTTTTTCAGGATTATTGCCAATTATTGCTCTTTGGATGAAGGTCGCCTTCCAGAACTCGGGGATGTCAGGGCCCATCCGCTCACGCGCCGCAGCATTGTGGTTGAAGACGGAGCCAGCTCCCAGCTCCCAGAGCTCCCAGCTCCCCCCCCCAAGGCTTCACTAACACAGGACCACCCGCCGAAGGCGGAAGCCATGGATGCGACCGGCACCTCCAACACAGACTGGCTGGAGAGAATGGGCGTTGACGAGAGGGCGATCTTCTGGTGTGGCGTGATGCTGGGAATCTCGGCGGTCACACTGGCCACCGGCACAGCAGTTCTCAAGATCGCGACGATCCGTAGCAAGCGAGCTGCCCGCCGACAAGTCGCTGACGCTCCCAGCACAGACCTCGCGAAGGCCGAGACCATCGGCTCAACGGTGAGCTTGCAGGACGTGCAGCCCCTGAAAGCAGCGCAACCACAGAAGCAAGCCATTGGTCAATTGAGGCGCGGTCGCCAGCTGCTGGCAGTTTTCCTCTCAACATTTGGCCTCTGTCTGGGTCTCGTACTAGCCAGCATTGCAGACGGCAGCTTGTCCAAAGAGACAGGCCTGGCGTGGGAAAGGTACGCCGTGCTGCTCTCCTTAGGTTGTGTCTGGTTGCTTTCCCAGGCCGCGATGGCCGCATGCACACTGGAAACAGGGCGTGGCTACGCCACAACCGCGTTCGCCGAAGCCATGCTCGCAGGGGTATGCCCAGTGATAGCCGATTCCTTCGACACCCTCAAGGACACCATCTTTGGGGGTTTGTGCCTGAAATCTTCGCACGTTGCCTTGCAAGTAGTGGGGATCCTTAGCTGGGCATACCTCGTGGGCTTTCACCTCGTTTTTATCACCGAAATCCGTTTTATGGCTGAGCTAGCGGCCAGCCACCTCTCGATGACAGCGATGCCCACCATCGACGTTATCAACTGCTCGCCCCCCAAGATTACGCGAGTTGAAAAGCTGATTGCTCTAGCCGCAAAGCAGATCAGCAAGACGAAGCGGGATATGTTGATGGTGGAGAACCTGCCTCAGGCGGGGTTCGCTGTTCTCTACCTGGCAGTCGAGGGTGGGAGCCCGCTCGTAGCAACACTGAGCCTGGGCATCCCAAGCGCCCAAATCCTAGCCTCGTGTTGCCTGCACCATAGAATTCAGAGAAGGCTGGTTCCCTGGTACGCCCTGCGTTTCGACGCGGCCGTGGACGCGGCCGACAAGGTGCTTTTCCGGCGTTTGCACGGTGAAATCTCCGGCAATCCGGAGTTGTGTTTAGAGATCGCGCTTCTCACCCGTCACTTCGGAGCCATCCTGGAAGCCCGCAGGGCGCGCCTCCAAAGCACCGGAGAAAGAGATGATGCCGCCCAGGTTGCCACTAGACTCCTGGGAAGCGCGAATTTGGGTATTTTGGATCTGAACGGCTTCAAAAACTGGGATGTGGCGACCGTGGAGGCGCTGATGCGGCACGTCAGGCAAACACCGTGGGTGATCGAACTTGTGCTTCGGGAGTGCCAAATGGAAGCCTCCCTGGCGCCAGCCCTGGAGCGCGGCCTCCGTGGGATCCGAGGCCTCAAAGAGCTTTCTCTGTCCTACAATCCCCAGCTCGGGAATCCGGGGGCCGAGGCCCTGGCCGCGGCGCTCCCCCACTGCGGCCTCGAAAGGCTTTTCCTGGACTCCATCGGGGTCGGATCCGAGGGCACGGAGGCGCTGCGCCGGGCCCTCGAGGAAGGCGCTGCGCTGAAACGGCTCGACCTCGAAGGAAATGACGCCATCGGCGGGGAGGCCAAGGCGGCCCTCAAAACATGCTGCCAGAGCCGGGGAGTCGATCTGTGGATTTAGAGGCCGAAGAAGAAAGAAGTCCCACTCCTTCCCGGGGCCGCACCAAAGGAGGGGTGGAACGGTCATCAACGCATTTGGCGCAACAGAATCACGCAACACCTACTGCAACATGAGCATTCCTAAAAGCTTACTGGAAATTTCCTCACGTCCTAAACTTACTGCACCCCTTTGGTGTTGAGACCTCGGCGCGGATCCGACAGTTCAATGTATTCTTTCATCTCGGAGTTCAGGTGGCGCTCCGCAGGGCTTCGACTACTTTCTCAAGCGGAAACGGGAGAGCATCCTGCAAAGGTTGTATAACTGTATGAATGACATTAAGGCATAGGATTTCGGGGGTTTAGGCGCCTTCATGCATGTCTGTGAGTTCATGCGATGGATCGTTTGCGCGCTTTAAGTCTACAGCTTATATTCGTTCATGAGGAGTTTGTGGTGTAGAGTTAGAGGCTTCCAAGACTCTTTTTTGACCTCCACTAAACAAGGTTCCGGATCGCCACGTACGGAAGGGCTGTGCACTTCTTGGGGGGAAATGGATCTGATGGACTCTCATGCGCAGAACTCATATTTCGAGACTCTGATGGAGACAAGAAGCCCGGAGAAGCCGCTGTGGGGTTTCTGCAGAATGTGTAGCTCTTTCTACCAAGGCGTGAGGAACACTCTCCGCCCTCAGACTTCCAATTCTCGCTGCTGCTCGGTTGAACAATGTGGAGTTTCACCCTATTCATCTTTCACGCGAGCTGGCCGCCGAAAAAAAGCCTCCGGGCCGCGCTCAGAGGGATCAGAGCAGACGTCGTGGTGCCGGAATCGGAGGTTTTCTGAGGAGGCCTTGCCGGGTGGCTTGTAGGGCCTCGGGTTTCGGGAGGGTTCGACTCTTTTGTGTGTGGGGGGGGGGGTGCGGGGTTCCTCTGGAGTGGAGTGAGATCCGCTGTGAAGCTTGGGAATCTTTGGGAATCCAAGTTTGGAGCTCTGGGTTCCGCCCAAACACCCCAAACATCCCAATCCCAACGAGAGGCCCCAAATCATCCTTCACATCCCCACACAGCCCAATCCAGATATGAGGCCTTGAAGTGTCCGTGATTCCCCTGAAGCCCCTGAAGCCCCTGAAGCCCCTAAAGCCCCCTTCGACCCAAACCTCCCGTACAGCCCCAAGCCCTAACCTGCAGATCCCCTTACACGCCTCTCGGCGCTTAGAAGGTGGTAGGGTTTGCAGAATTGTTGGGGTCCTTAGCCTTCTAAGGCCCCCGAAAACGCGTCCCCAAGCCTCTTGATGGCGCGAGGTCGCCAAGCCTCGGCAGTTTGCCACTTCCGGGGGCCACCCCGCGGCAGCGTTCTCGGGGAGGCGCGCTCTCTGCGGCTTCTTGCCCATATGGACCCTTATGGGCTGAGGCATAGAAAGGCCCCTACCACTTTGGTTTCAACAGCTCTGGATCTCTCAGAGTGTGGGACCGTCCCGCCTGCAGCGGAGCCTCATATGGTCGCGGAAAGTCCGTGCGAAGAAGAAAAGAAAACATCCCCCCATATCTCCGAAGGGTTTATACGGGACTTGATAGGTGTGTCAGAGCTGGCTTAGAGCTGAGGGCTTTGTGTGTTAGAGGAGTCTACAGGGTTTAGGAAGTTTACGGGTTTCGGCAGGTTTTTAGGCAGGTTGCAGGTTTGGGGAGTTTGTTAGGAAGTTTGCAGGCTTTAGGGAGTTTGGGGATCAGGATTCCAAGGTGTTTGGCCTCTGGGCATTGGCTTTTTGATCTGGGGCCCTCTGCTCCCAAGTCTCCATCCAGCCCCTACAAGCCCCAAACTCCATCCCCTGCTAACCCCTAAGCCCGAAACCCCAGACCCTACCTAAACTCCAAGCCCTAAATCCCTGAGCCCTATACCCCAAACCCTAGACACTAGACCCCAGACCGTATACACCCTAAACCCTAAACCTAAGAGAAACCAAAATATAGGGCCTTTGTGGGGCCGCGCAAGTTCCATGGACGGAGGGTCGAGGGTGCGGACCTCGAAAGTGCAGCGCCCCGGGCGCAGCCTTGGGGACCAGTTGGGTTTTACCCTGCGAGCCCTTGAAACCCTACAAAACCCTAAAGGGTTTAGGGTTTACCGTACAGGGTTGAATTAGTGTTTCGGCTTCAGGTTGGTTGGTTGCGGTTTAGGGTTTAGGTTCAGGGTGTAGGGTTCAGGGTTTAGGGTTTCGGGTTCAGGGTTTAGGGTTTAGGGTTGCCGTTGAAACCCTAGAAAGCCTACCCTCTGAAGCCCAAAGGGTTTAGGGTTGCCGTTGAACCCCTAGAAAGGCTTTTGTGTTCGGCGTCTGAGTCTCGGCCTCAAGGTCGGCGCAACAGAAGTTTAGCTCACCAAGGCAGTGCAAGGTTTCGGGGTGAGGGTTGAGGGTTGAAGGGTTCAGGGTTCAGGCACAGCACCATTTGCTTCAGTGTTTCGGGTGGAGGGCTCTTAAGTCTTAAACCTCTGAACCTGCAGCCGTTTTGCAGGTCCAAGCTTTGTGATACTTCGAACGCTTAGTGGCCAAGGGGGAGTTGAACTGGCGATTTAAAGGCCGAAGAAGAAGAAAGTCCATCAGGAGGGTGGAAGAAGTTGAACCTGGGAGGTTTTTACGGGGAGGCTCTTCACAAAACAAGTTTGTGTAGACAACGAGCTGGCACTCCACACTGCGTCTTATTGGGTCGCGAATTTGAGAGGGTTCCAGGACACCTTGGCGTTTCCGCAGCACCTTCGTATCATGTTGCTATAGGGTAAGAGGGGTTTCAGGGTTTACGGGTTTGACCGGGGGGGTCATCTTGAGTGGAGTGCAACCCGGCGCTCAGTTTTCCTTAAGTTTGGGAATCTTTGGGAATCCAGGGTTGGAGCCTAAGCCCATCTAAGCCCTAAACCCTAAATCCTAAATCCTAAACCCTAAACCCTAAACCCTAAACCCTAAACCGCTTTCGGGGGGAGGCTCCGTGCAGCTTAGCCCATGCCTGGGCGGAGAGACATACCCTACACGCTATACACCTATCAACCCTGTAGACCCTACAAACCCTGTCAACCCTGCAAAGCCTGTAACCCTACCCTATGATCGTGGTAGTGGCAAATGTAAGGGGAGTTCAATAAAACTCCATAGAGCCTACACCCCTACATCTCAAACCTTGAACCCGAGATCCCAAACCCCGAGGCGTCCTATAAGTGCTAAGCCGAAGTCCTACAGTGCGGAGGCTTTCCGAAAATGTTCAGCTGGCTTTTGCAAGAAGGGGCCCCCAAACTAGATACCCGCAGAAACAGGCCTTTGGGATGTCGGTTTCTTGAATTCGGATTCGTAGGGCAGGGCTTCTTAAGTCCAACAGGTTCTTCTCTGCTACAGGGGTCGGAAATTTTACTAGTATTCCCTTGTGGTCCCTTGATTATTCTCCTATCTAATGATATAATAACCCCCGTTTTACGGGGTTCTTCTCTAGCCGCCCTTTGGGAAGGTGCGCCTTCGGGTCTGCTGTCTGAGAGGCTTCCAGGTGGCGCTAGGGTTCATAGGGCTCCGTAGGGCCCAGGGGCCGCCCAATGCGCCTCCCGAGCCTCCTTCAAAACGGGTTTAGGGTTTAGGGTTTAGGGTTTAGGGTTTAGGGTTTAGGGTTGGTTTAGGGTTTAGGGTTTAGGGCTTAGGCCTTAGGGTTTAGGGTTTAGGGCTTAGGGGTTTAGGGTTTAGGGCTTAGGGGTTTAGGGTTTAGGGTTTAGGGTTAAGGAATTAGGGTTAAGAAACCTATTTTCCCCCTGCACCCACCTTCCGAAGCCTGCCCTAGCCTCGAAATGGGAGGGTTCGGCCCGGGTTTGGCCCGTTTGGGGTTGGGCTTGGACCGTTTGGGGTTTATAGGGTCGTTGTAAAGAATGGGCGTATTGGGTTTAGGGCTCCTAGTCATGCCCTAGAAAACCCTAGAAACGCTAGAAACCCTCGAGCCCTTCTATAAATCCTAGAAAAAGCCGTACAGGCCTTGCCACTTTTGCTTCAACGGCACTTCATCTCTCAAAGCGTGGACAGTCCCGCCTGCAGCGGAGCCTCATCTGGTCGCGGAAAGTCAGCTTGAAGAAGAGCAAAATAGCATCCCCAACCCCCGAAGGTTTGCAGGATTTACAGTTAGAGCTGGCTTAGAGCTGAGGGTTTTGTAAGCTAGAGCGTGCAAGGTTTAGGAAGTCTACGGGTTTAGAGAGTTGTTAGGAAAGTGGCAGGCAGTGGGATTTTTTTGGGAAGTTTACGGGTTTAGGGAGTGTGCGGATCAGGATTTTGAGGTATTCTGTTTCTTCCCTGCAATTCTAGGCATTGGCTCTCTGATCTGGGGGCACTCTATTCGCAAGTGTCCACCCTAGACCCTAAACCCTAAGCCCCAAACTCAAACCAAAGTGACAAGCTCTGGGCACATCATCACGGACCATATGAAGCAGCGGGCCTTGGGGAGTTTTACCAACTAAGCCCCACACACCCTATGAAGTCTAAACCCTCTGAAAGGTTTAGGGTTTAGGGCTTAGGGCTTAGGGCTTAGGGCTTAGGGGTTTAGGGCTTGGGGCTTAGGGCTTAGGGTTTAGGGTTTAGAACCCTACAAACCCTCTGAAGCCTTAGGGGTCTCGACCCGTCAAGCTCACCAAGGCAGTGCTAGATGGAAGGGCTTAGGGTTTATTTGGGTTTAGGGTTTCGGGTTCAGGGCTTAGGGTTTCTAATAGTGGGTTAGGGTTCAGAGTTTCGGGCATCAAACATCACAGCATCCCCATTCGGTTAGGGTTTCGGTTAGAGGGCTTTGGGGTTTACTTGGAGGTTCATGGTACGTATTCACCTATGATAATTGTATTTATGACCCACTTACATAAGCCCCTTAAGTGCTTAAGTACCATGAACCTCCAAGTAGGGACGCATACCTCTTGGGCCCCCTGCGGGCCTCCGGCAAAGTGTATCCGTGGCTTCAATCGGCCGAAGCGTTTTGAAACGCAGTGGAAGCCCCAATCCTAAGCCCTCAGCATCCTCATGCCCATCACCGGAA